AGAGAAAGAGAGAAAGAGAGAAAGAGAGAAAGAGAGAAAGAGAGAAAGAGAGAAAGAGAGAAAGAGAGAAAGAGAGAAAGAGAGAAAGAGAGAAAATCAACCAGCAGAAAGGAGCCCGAAAGACTTACGTCAAGATTTTTTCTGGTTCTGATTTAAAACCTGGAAAACGTACGCACAGCCAGAGGGACCCAGAGCTCCCATCCTAGATCCAAGGAGTAGGGGAGGGCAGCCGGCAAGCGGAACGCGATGCCTGGCTGCGGCTGCGATTTGCAATTTTAATTTCTAACTGAGCTGTGCCCTGGCTACGATTACTTCGCTTTGCCGTGTGCGCAGCGATGCTGAGAGCCCGACGGCGGCGGCGAGCGCCTCGCCAGCTCCTTCCCCGGCTGCCACCGGGGCAGGGGACACGCCAAGAGCCCCGAGCGAGGCAGGCGCTGCCTGGAGCTCCGGCCCCGCCGGGACAGGTGCGGGATGCGGCCGAATGCCAGCGGAGGATGCTCGGAGCGCCCGGCCAGCGCGCCCATCCCCGAGTGATGGATGGGCTGGCGAGCTCCCGAGCGCTGCCGGAACGCCGCGGCTGCCGCTGCCCGGGCATCCCAGCGCAGGAGAGGGAGAAGGATCCGCAGGGACCGCAGGGACCGCCCGCCCCCCGCTCCCCGGCGCGTCCCTACCGTGTGCTCGCGGCCCGACATGGTGCTGCTGCGGCGGGCCCGGCGGGCCGGGGCTATAAGGGCTGCGGGACACGTAGCGCGGCCCTGGGCCGGCCCCTCTCGCCCTGCGCCCGCCCCCGCCGCCGCCTCCTCCGGCCCGGCCCCCGGAGAGCCGGGCAGGGCGCGCCGGGCCCCCGAAGGAGCGGGCGGCGAGCGCAGGGGAGCCCCGACGGAGTCCTGCCCTGGCATGAGGCGCTTGGGGCTCCCCTGCCACGGCCGGGGAGAGGAGAGGGAGGAGGAACAGCAGCCCACACAACGCTGCTGGCGAAAAAGCACCTCCCGAGGATGATGATGATGATGATAAAAATGATGGTTAAAACTAAGGAGTGCTGGAGGCTGGTCCCTGAGTGTTTGGCCAAAATACCAAAAAAAGTTGAAAGGAAACAAAGAGGAGCCTCTCAGCAAATAAAGTGGAAGAGAAACCCAGTGACTGACAGCTTTGCCCCAGTGACTGACAGCTTTGCCCCAAATCCTCAGTTTTTCACTACTGGAAAAGCTCAGGTTCCTGAACTCTGCTGAAAGAGAGGAAAAGGCAGGCAGTGTCCTGGTGGAAGGGAAGCTGCAGTACAACCCTGGGATGGCCCATGAGCCAGGGAGAGAGAAAGGAAGATCCTGGTGGGCGGGTGAATAATTCTACACCTGAGGGTGAACGGTGCCATCCAGCACGGCACTTGTCCTCCTGGACCACTGCCTCCTGCTCCATACCCATCCATGGATCCCTCCCAGGGCCACAAGGATGGCTGTGCCAGCTGTGCTGCCTCTCCTCTAGGAGGAGATGCCTCACTTCTCATTGTGCCTGCAAGAGCAAATGCTCCCTCCAGGTCCAACGTGCTGAGCCTACCTTAACTCTTCAGCACATGATCACCAGCAGTGCACAAAATACTCCTGTTTCATCTCTGTCCTTCCTTCCAGCAGAGTTTAAAATCATTGATGCCCTGACTGAGCTCATTGATGCCCTGACTGAGCCCTGAGTGAAGCCTCTTGAAGGAAAAATAAAAAGGTGTTGGGATTTTGCAGTGCCCCCCCATTCTCCTGATAAACTCTTGAACGGAATAGGAAACCCCAAGAGAACAGTGAAGACATAAATGGGGTTCCCCAAATGAGGTCTTGCTGCAGGAAGAACAGGGCCCACTGTGGGAAAGCATGGATGTGAAGGAATGGGGCTGGAAGGAGGCAGCAGCACCTGCTCAACCAATTCCCAAAACCAGCCAGCTATTAAGAGTGTGATCAGCTATCAGCTGAACTAATCCCCAGTGTAATTCCAGTTAAACCCATGGCATTACATTCAGGATTAACTCAGTTAATAATACCAGGGTTGCTTTTGAGCACTACTCACTCCTTGATTTTCCTCATATTGTTTTTCTCAATTAAGGGCAGATTACATTTCTGCCATAGAAACAACAGAGCAAGGTTGGAAGAACAGGGAAAGAAGGCTGAACACAATATCCATTGGAAAAGTCCATTGTGGTACATTTAAATTCACATATTTGTGAATTACCTTGTCTTTCTGAACCTTCAGTAAAGCAGAAGGGTGGAAAAGGTGCCCAACAGAGCAAGGCCAGCAGGGAAACACATTTACTGAAGAACAAGGAGCAGCACAAAGGGGATTGTGAAGAAGAAGAGGCACAAAGAGGGGATTCTGTAACAACAGACCACTCTAAACCACACTGGCCTGACACACAGGTGGTTCTAGAGAGGGCATTTTTGAAGGTGAACATATTTTTTCCATTAAAAGTGAGCTATAGAAAGAAAGGGGGAAAACAGAAAACTAGTGCTACAATGTAACAGAAAAATTAGCATCCAGAGCATGTAACACCTCCATGTTTCCCATAGATACCCATCAGGGAGACAAAGTGAGTCAACATTATCTCCATTTGTTGCATCATTCTTCACTGCTAACTTCATCAAAGTTATGTCCCTTCTAGGAATTAAACTGACTACTCATAACCTTCCTGAGAATTCAAGCAAATAACATTTTGTGTATAAGAGATCCAAGGGTTTTCCACCTATTTTTCACTCATTTTTCCCAAGCACAATGGAAAGAATGGTGTGAACTTTCATTACATTAAGCTATAATAACTAATTATATTTGGCCATTGTCACAAGTTTTAATTTTATGTGGCTTTTCAAAGAAGTAACTGAGCAAACAAAGCAAGCAAAAACATAAATCTAGCTGCTTACTTCAAGAGACACGAAAATTAGTGACTCTCAATTTTCATCAAATAACTTCTTGGGCTTCAGCCTCACACAATCAGGGAAAGCAGCAGCATCCCAGCAAAGCAGGCAGGGGCTGCCCCTGGATCCCAGGAAGTGCCCAAGGCCAGGTTGGATGGGATTTGGAGCAACCTGGGACAGTGGAAGGTGTCCCTGCCCATGGCACAGGGTGGAATTGGATGACCTTTAAGATCCCTTTCAACTCAAACCATTCAGTGATTTTATGATTATGAGGAATATTTTTATTTGTGAGGATTCTCAATCTGTTCACAGGAGACTGTTGTTCCTCTCCTTCCTGGGAAAGACAAAAGAAAGTCATGCCCTTGTGCACTGGGATTTAGCATTTTCCTGCAAAGTCTGTACTGCCCTGACACCCTGATCTCAAAGAAACAATAAATCCCTAGAGAAAAAGCTCTCTCAGAAGCCCATTGTGCAACCTGCTACACTAACAGAGAGCAGAATCTATATATAACACCCCCAAACAGGCCCAGCAAGCAGCTGCTTGTGAGGCATTTGCTCCATCCATCTTCCCCATTCCAAATCACCTTCTTAGCCCAAATTCCTATCCCAGAAATTGCCCCAAAGCACCGACGCTCACGTCAGTGTTTGCGAGCTGGCCACAACCAGTGGGATACCTTCACCAACACCTTCTGCCACCTGCCAGGCAGCAGAGGTGGAGATGAAGAGGCCACATCCCTCCTGCTCTGAGCCATCAGCCCCAGCAGTGCTGCAGCCTCTGGGCAAGGGCCATGGAAGGAGAGGGCTGTGCCTGGCAGAGCTCTCCCACATGGAAGGTACAGGGGGAGCTCACTGTCTCTGAAGCTGCACAACTATCCTTGGAGATCCTTGCAGGAATTCCCTTATTTGATGACTGCTAGGTGGAAAAGCACTCCACTACTTCCTGCACTCAAGCTACTCCTCTGCTGCTGCCTCTGCTTTTGTTAATTTGCTTTCCTAGCACTGGGGAACCTGCAGGTCAAGGTTCAGTCCCTTGCTTATTTTTTCAAGTGATGGAGACACCGTTGCTGCCTTCAGCACCATTTCTTCTCAGATTCTCTGGCTTTGTTTTTGCAAAGTGCCAGGAGGAGCTGTCACTCAGTTAATGGAGCATCCTGCAGTCACTGGGAGTGGGACAAATTGTGTTCATCATGTCCCCAGTGCATTAGGTACCTTTGAAATCTGAATGTTCCCCAAATGAACACACGCAACTCCTCTGGCATCAGCCTGCAGAGATACCAGAGATACTGAACTGCCCCAACAAGCACTTCCAGCTTATCCACCTCACCTTTCACCCTCTGCACAAAGGGGGTTGAATTCTGTGCATAAGTCAAGGGTGGATCTGCAGCCCTAAAGCCTCACTTGTGAAATGTCAAATCAGAAATAAGCTATGAAAGTAAAGCACAGATTGCTGGAAGCACCAGAGATCCCAGGTTAGGGCATTATCTCCTGGAGTCAGCAATCAGGACCTTAATGAGAACAGGAAACATTTTTCCTTTCCTATTTCTATAATTCAAATGGGATCATCCCCAACTTTCAGAAAGCTGGTTGAGAGAACAAGAGCGCCAGAAGTGACAGGAAATCAGCCACTGAAGCCTCCAGCACTGGCAACACCCACTGCAGCTGGGGACTGCTACAGCCAGAAACTGAGTTCCAAACCAGTTTGCCAGGATTTCACAATAGAGAGAGGAGCCCAAGCCAGGAACAAGCTCTACACCTATCTGGGTTTTCTCAAAGTGCTGCAGAGCTCACTTTAAACAACCCAGGCCAGGTTTTTAATGCCCCAGTGACACAACCACTCCTGCTCCCAGCAGTATCTTGTTTTCCCACACACCCTCTGGGCTGCACTGGCAGTTCTGAAGGTTCCCAGTGCAACTGGTCCAGCCTTGGGGATGGCATCTCACACATACCAAATCCCCATAATCATTAGGGAAATGGTAAAAATGCAAAACAATCAATTCCCACAGCTGCTTCTGTCACTTTCTTTTTTAGGATGGGGGTACAAATACCTCCTGTCCTCTGAGCTCTGCTCAGGACAGCATCCCACGGTGGGTGAGGCTGGAGGAGCAGAGTGGGCAGCTGGTGGCACCTCTCTGCTCCAGCAGGGCCATCCCAGAGCCCAGGGCACAGCATTGTGTGCACACAGCTCTGCCCCAGCCCCAGGGAGGAGAGCCCCCAGGCTCTGTGCACAATGTGCTCAGGGCTGGCACTGCCCAGGGAAGAAGTTGTGCCTCCTGTGCAGGGGGAATTGCTGGGCTCAACTTCTGCCCACCAGATCTGTAAACTAAGTTCTCTCAGGAGTCCTTGATTTTTCTCACTCACCTTTTTTTTTTTTTTTTTTTTGGTATTCATTATTTCTCTTTTTCCCTTTGCCTGTCCATAAACTTGCAGTGCCTTTGAGATTTTCCAGCCAATCCCACAGCACCTAGAGCAATCCCAGCTCCCACTTGCAGACAGACCTCATGCTCTCCTTCTGATTGCACACCACAGCTCCATGATATAAGATATATAAAATATATATCCCTACCAGGGCCTGGACAACACTCTACAAGGAAGGGACTATTGATTTTTCAAGTATCTTTGCTCGGAAGCAAAACAAGGATTCTTATCCTTTTGCGGTGTGTCATATTGCAGTAAAGATATTTATTTATTGAGCGTAATTATCTGCTACTGGCCTGTTGCCTTTGCCCTATGTGATTTCTTATCCCTATCACAGACTTTGACCTGTATCCCTACCTTGTTCCTTTTACAATGCCAGAATAAAAATGCCAGCTCCTGAAATTTTTTCA